AATAACTCTTGCTTCTGAGTCTAGAAGTGTGAACCTGGCCTCACCGGTCTGATCCTGCACCAGCAAGTCTAACTTGTACCTGGATATTCAAAAGTTTCCCAAATTACAGCACATAAATCTGTTATCGTAGTTTATAGGTTTAAAAAGAAAACCTTGTTTCCACATTAGTGACACTGTGCTGGCAAAAGTCACACCACCATTTTGGAACTTCCACTTCTTCAAAAACAATAGTCTGTTTGAAAACATTATGCTTGCAGACCATACACTCATGAAAATACCATCCAGATATGGTATCGATAGCATAAATAGAGCATATAACTCTGCAATGTCCACCCTAAAAATAGGACAAAGACACAATGACCATTATTATAAATTTACTAAGTTTGTAGATCTTTATTAATTTTTTAAAACATCTCTGTTATCTGTTATTTGATCGGATGGTTTAGATAATCATACCTTATCACAGCGCTTCATTTCTTGAATGGTTAGGAATGGATCGAGTGACCATTTATGGTGCCTTTCCTGCATCTTAACTTTATCTTCGACATGTTGTTTCTTCCCCAGAGAGTTATCAACACCATTAAACCTAATATGAATAAAGATAAATTATAACAGAGATGTTTACACTAATCAAAAAGCACACAACTAAACTGAAAAAACTCGCCTTTGTTTAAGTTCATGTGTTTCCTTGATATCTGGGTTTGCAAACACCAAAGAATAATCATTGTAAATGTTCAATTGAATATCTCCTGAAACACATATAGAACAACAATTTAAAAGTCACCAAAGAGATACAAATATATAAATTAAACCATAAAACATTAAATGAAATGTAAAAATACCCTGGTAGTTGCTGATTCTAGCAAACCTGACTAAACAAATGTCTCCAAGTTTCAGTGGTTCAACCTCTTGCGTTAAATTGACCGCTAATTTCCCCATAATTAAGCATCGAACGCGATTGTCCCTGAGAATATTTAAAAGTCAATGTTAGAATTTACAAATCATTTGTATCAAATGCAGAACTTTATGTTTATATTTACACTAACTTTATATCTCTTAAAGTAAACTCCAACTTGGCAACTTCTTTTCTTAGGCATGTTGACATTTTAAAACCGTCAAACTCTACAATCTCACCTATCACATCTGAAACGGATTTACAATAGTTAGTTAAACTAAAGTTCGAAGATTGTTTAGTTTTTTAAGAAAACGTACGAAGCAAGTAATAACAATGAAAACAACAATATGCTTCGAAAACATTACCAATAAGAACACATGGATCAAGTTGGAGATTAGCAATAGTGGCAAAATCGATGAGATCGAGGAACATGTTACGGCAGGTGATATTACACATGGTTATCACTGTTTCACACACGAATTCCATTTTGTAAAGATGGTTGGTGGGACGGGCAAGTCCAGTCGCTCGCCGTAATGCAAAGTTTCTTATCACTATCCATTCTCCAACAACACAAAGCTTCTCGAACATTTTCAATAATTTCTGACTGCAAGCGGCATGGATCTTAACACCCTACGAAAATTTTAAAAAATAACATGCCAGTTCATATATAAAACAAATGTTTGGAACGATATGAAATAAATTTTTATTACATTTTCGTCAGTCAAAACCATCTGAAGAGAGGCACCGGACTGGTGACTGAAAGATATCCACGTATGCAACACTTTCACTCTTACAATCCATGAAGTTTTGAAAGGTTTAACTACACGTAAGCTGGTGATTTTGAGTTGGGTATCCATAAGAATGTATGAAGTTTAAAGCTATGTATTTGGAAGCGTGTTTGTGATGTGTGTTGTTATTGTAGTTATATATAGCTCTCATTTTTCAGATTTGTGAAACGGAGAATATAAAATATTCTAAGAATATATTATATTGTAGTTACGATTGTAAAATCTGAAAGATATGCTAAAAATAATATATTTTTCGTTATATGGTCTAGTTATATATAGCTCGATTTTTATCTACATTTTAACAGAGTCCATTAATGAAGATAAGATCAGTAATATAAATCGTTTACAATTAGTTATATTCCAAGGAACAACGTCTATATTCGAGATAGGAAATCTATGGATACCAAACTGATTTAACAATTCACACGCAACTGAACTATAAGCCCAATTTATATATTTTATTCTCATGAAACATACAAACCTTACAAACCTTAAAGATACAAACAAAGATTCATTAATATTCCCCTTTTAATCTAGGAAATTAAATGCTCAAACATTCAAACCTCAGAATACAAACTCTAATTTCCCTTGTTAGAAATTTCATAAAATAACTTGAGCCTTTTGAAGTAGTAACATTCCTGGCATACTTTTGCATGATTATCGAGATCACTGTATGTCTTTGGCAGAAGGTTGACCATATTGACATAGAACCGCCTAGTTGTTTTAACAGGGATTGCACTTAATGAGTTCTTAATTCTTTCCCAGCAATGATCGGAGGTTGATACATTCTTTTCCCATTCGAGTTTATCCATCCACTTTTTACCGGTTCTATAGTGACCGCTAGCAATCATTAACAAACCGTAAAGATACATACCATTTTGATATCTCGCAACAGCTGATTATTTTAGATGAAAGATACCCGCCGGTTTATCATTTTGAACGAAGTATTGAAGTATACCCTCAATATAATGTGCTTCAGGGTTGCCATTCTTCAAGCATTTTTCCTTTAACCATTTATTCTCACTCAACATTCGGAGAGGTTTGACAGCAAAATATCGCAGGTTTAGGTTTCTGAAATAGCTGCTGGAATCTGCATCGGAGTAGTCGTCGTAGACACCATTCTCACCGGTTTTGGACAATATGTAATTCTTAACCGAATTTTCTGAAGCCATCGTATGAAAGTGGAGCAAGGTTTTGAACGATTTGTGTTTATAAGAATGGTGTTTGAGAAGAGAAGAAAACATGATATTGGATAGATTGCAATGCTTGTCAATAGTTTCAGGTAGAGATGCTCTCTTATCAAGTGAATAAAGTTAATAGGGTTTGTCTTTCCAAAACAAATATATAAGGCATTTGTACAAAAAGATGTCTATATATCCTTGGAACTTGGTGTTTCTTTTTTGACATAGACAACACATTGGTCAGCTTTTTGATTTTACGAAGCAAGTCTTTGCTATAGTTCTCCCAATGCATGATGCCTATACGGAATGCATGCTTGTGAACATGCTCATATAAGGCTGACATGCAACATTTTGTCATAGCAGACGACTTGTCTCGGATCTACAGCTTTAAAAAGGCTGTTTACAAATCAAACTTCTTCAGCTACTATCATGTCACTTGCATGTATGATTTGTATGATATCAGTTGCATGCATTCTTTTTGATATATAATGTAACAATATAACTTGAAACATAGTCTGTGTATTGGGCAGGTCCAATATAAAAAAACGTTCAATGATGGATCAGATATTAGAATTGATCCAACTGATTAAAATGGATCCAATATGTTTCAATGTTTCATATTAATAGTCCTAACACGGTTTAAAGTTTTAAACCGATGAAGCCCACATAATTATAATAATAAAAATGAGCCCATTTTGTACACTCGCCGGAAAGAATGGTGGTCAGAATCAATAAGGACAGACTATAGAATTTGCCGATATCATTTTCGGAGGCACTAAAACAGAAGGGAAACAATAAGGACATCTTATGTATCATTTGCCCGACAACACAGTGGTCGGAATTTCTTGTTATCGTCTAATCCTTGGCAAGTCCGCCGTGTAGATTTCATATACGAATGTTTTGAATAAAATTGTGAACAACGATTTAACCATGAAACTCAGTGTATAAACGTCATTTGTATCTGAATCAAATGAATGAGAATAATGGAGATCCATTATCGGCACAGAAGAAGAATATGTTTACACGCAGGCGAAGAAGAATATGTTTTGATCAGATGGATTTGTTTCCACAATAAGTGGAAAACGTTTATATTTCTGTTTTAGATTTAAAAAATAACTTTAATATAAAGCATAGCCTAAAAATAATGTAGTGACATAGAATGGTAAATAATGTTAAAACAGAAGGACACCTGAAAAAAGAGCCTTGTGTTTTAATAGTATAGACTAGAAGACAAGAAATGAAAAGTTTATTAAAACTTCAAATACGATTATAGTGAAATTCTATAATGAAAATAATGTTTGACAGTGAGAATAAACTACATGCCTTTAAAATCTATATTATGAAAATAGAATTTATAACTTCTTTTATGTATAATATTTGATCATCCTTAAAAAATTATCAATTTTAAAATAATTTAATCATAATATATTTTAATATCTTTATCTATACTATTAAAATAGAATGTTTGATTTCTTTATGTCTGATTTTTAATTTTGGATCATCCTTAATAAATATCAGTTTTAACATAACTTAATCATAATATATTTTAGTATCTTTATTTTTTTAAAAAAATAAAAATATGTTTCAAACAATTCTGACAATATATTTTTAATATCTTTCAGAATCTTTTAAAATATATTTCTGAAAATTAGTTAACTTAAATTTTAATTATCATAAAATATAATTAAAATTTAGTTTATTTTTATTTATAAACGAAGAGTCAAATTATGTAAAATATTTTAGTTATATTTTAATGATATTAAATATTTACATTGACTAATTTAAAAATAAATTTTATAAACATTTTACAAGATTTTGTTAGTCAGAAATATTAGTTTCTAAACCTATTTAAAACAGCCCAAAAACTAAAATTTGATGTTTTAAATAGTATTCCAAAAATATTTTTTCTATCATGCAGGTCCAATTTAATTTAATTTCATATATATTTCACATATAAAAATAAAAAAATATGTAAAATAGTATTTTTATATAATAATGTTTCTATAGCCTCCAGCTCCAAGATCCTATGTTAGGCCTCAAACTACTCCTCCCACAAGGAGTTTGAGATATATAGAATGTCAACGGAACCACGCGGCGAGCTCCGGTGGACACGTGATCGACGGTTGCGGCGAGTTTATGTATTCCGGTGAAGAAGGCACGGCGGAGTCACTTCTTTGCGCCGCATGTGATTGTCACCGGAGCTTCCACCGAAAAGAAATCGACGACATGTTCGTTGTCAAACTCAACACCTTTGGCCGTTCACAAAGACCGCTCGTTAGTGGTCACGTGTCTCCGATCATGATGAGCTTCGGCGGTGTAGGAAGAAGTAGAGATCCTGCGGAGTCCTCGACGGAGGATCTTAACAGTTTCATCAATCTTTTAGTGGAAATGGAGTGGATCAGTCTCAATACCATCCCAAGAAACGGTTTAGGACAAAGTTCAATCAAGAACATAAAGAGAATATGATGAAGTTCGCTGATAAGATTGGATGGAGAATAAGCAAGACAGAAGACAATGAAGTGAATCGGTTTTGTCGTGAGATTAATGTGAAAGGGCAAGTGTTTAAAGTCTGGATGCACAACAATAAGAAACCAGGCAAGAAAAAAATGTAAGAGACTATATATATATACAGTATACCAAGATCCTTGTTCAACACGATCCTGTGTTAACTTTAAGACTATTTGTGTTTACATTTTGGGAAATATATTTGATTAGATTCATAATTGTATAAGAAGTTGATTTAGAGCTCAACATAACGCTCTCTAATCTCTTCAGCAACATGAGAAGCCTTTTGTTTTGCTGTTTCATATACGTGTTTTGTCGATTCCTTAACCTTGTCCATTGTTTCTCCGAATCCTTTGGCCGCTCCATCTTTGGTTTTGTGTGATTTCTCTTTCATATATTCAACAGATCCATCCATTGCCTCCGTTGCTTTGTCCCTACCATACTTCATTGCATGTTCGCCTTTATCAGCTGCCATGTCTTTAGCACTCTTTGACCTTTCTTTAGCTCCTTCATAGGCTTCATTGCTCTTGTCTGTGGCCATCCTTATCACATCCCCGGCCTTGTCATACCCGTAACCCGCCTCCTCATACGCAAAATCTTTTGCATTTCCAGCCTTTTCGTAAGCTACGTCTTTTGCATTGCTTGCTTTCTTGTAAGCAAAGTCTTTGGCCTCACCGGCTTTTTCATAGCCGTAATCCTTTGCTTTCTCAGCACCACTGTAAGCAGATCCCACCTTGTCAAACGCCATGTCTTTCACATCGCCCCCCTTTTCATATGCCATGTCCTTCGCACTTCTGTAAGCAGATCCCACCTTCTCATATGCCATGTCCTTTGCATTCCCCGCCTTATCATAAGCCATGTCTTTTGCAATGCCAGCCTTATCATAGGCCATGTCTTTTGCATCACCAGCCTTATCATAGGCATAATCCTTAGCGTGTCCCGCCTTCTTGTAAGCCATGTCTTTTGCATTGTCTGCTTTATCATAGGCCATATCTTTTGCAATGCCTGCCTTATCATAGGCCATTTCTTTTGCATCGCCAGCCTTATCATAGGCATAATCCTTACCATGTCCGGCCTTCTCGTAAGCCATGTCCTTTGCATTGGCTGCCTTGTCATAAGCAAAATCCTTAGCGTGTCCTGCCTTTTCATAAGCCATGTCCTTCGCATTGCCTGCCTTGTCATAAGCAAAATCTCTTGCATGTCCAGCCTGCTCGTAAGCCATGTCTTTTGCATTGCCTGCCTTATCATAGGCCATGTCCTTTACATAGCCAGCTTTCTCGTAAGCCATGTCCTTTGCATTACCAGCCTTATCATAAGCAAAATCTTTAGCATGTCCTGCCTGCTCGTAAGCCATGTCCTTCGCATTGCCTGCCTTGTCATAAGCAAAATCCTTAGCGTGTCCTGCCTGATCGTAAGCCATGTCTTTTGCATTGCCTGCCTTATCATATGCCTTGCCCTTTACATAGCCAGCTTTCTCGGAGGCCATATCTTTTGCATTGCCGGCCTTCTCATACACCATATCCTTAACATCACCAGCTTTCTGATACGTAAAATCCTTTGCATAACCAGCATTGTCATATGCGGAGTCCTTGACGTTTTGCGCGGTGTTGTAAGCGTAATTTTTTGCACGTTGGGCAGTACTTTCGGGTTCCTTTTTCTTTCTACCTAGTCCACTGGAAAAAGAAATAAGTAAAACGTTACCTATGATAACCGAATTACCGCCAAATACGTTACCAATGTAGACGTTGTAGTGAAGAAATATAACACATGAGACATTACCAATTACACATGACCAAAATGAGGATTTGTAGACATAATCAACGTGTTAAGATGGATGGTAAGTAAACGACTGTTTGACCAAAATGGGTTTCAGAAACTACTTACGTGCTGATTTTGTCGGAGACCCAACCAACCCATGAAGCAGTCTTCTCTCTAGTTTCTTGAGCAGTCTCTGTTGCCATTTTCTTAGCCATTTCGGCGGTGCTTCTTGCGTCCTTCGCCGTCGTCCCCTTTTGACACGTCAGAACCACCACTACCACCAGCAGTGCCAAAGCCGTTCTTCTTCTCTCCATCATCTCTTTCGACAAATGATTGAACTTCAAAAATTTTCAACCTTTTTGTTTTTTTTTTTTCTTTATTGAATGATCAGATTATAGTTCCAATGTCCTCGGAAGTTATAAAGAGAGATCTCTAAAGCGAAGACCATAGGGTCTTTCCGAGAAGCGGTTACTGTTCACCACGTGGTGTAATGACTACCAAATATTGCGGGTTTGTTGTGGAGATGTCTCTATGACTTCGCCACGTGTCCTATGTGGCCGTGTTCCCCTCCCAGACCTCATAGTTAGGCGAAAATGTTTCTAAAGCGGTTTTCATAACCGTTGCGATTTAGACTGAATTTTCAAATTGGTCCCAATTTCAACTAAACCGAAATTAAACCGACCGCTCAACCATGTCACCATTTCCTATCTATCTTATTAAAACTGTAGTACCTTTTAGGTTTGTTTGGAAACTTAAATAATAGTAATAAAGAGTTTAGTGTTGTTTGGCTATAAATTTAATAGAGTTGGACTTTTAAACATTGTTATTATAGAATTGGGCTTTTGTTTAATTTATTTTATGATATAGTTGACTTTAATCATTTGACCTATTGTAGTAATTTGTGTTTTTAATTTATACTTTATATAAAAACTATATTCAATTTTATTTGTTATTGACTAAATTAAAAATAACATCAGTTTTTAGGATAATAACAAATTACATTTTACATAATTTAATACTCAAATTTTTTTATCTAAAGTATTTTACATTATTCAAATTATCATAAAGACACAAAATACTTGAATAGTTTTAACTAAAATATTAAATTTTTTTTTCGTAACTGGATATTTATCAGAAACACCTCTCCTCTCCAAAATCAGTTTTACCCCGATTAATCTAAAATTAACCCTAGAAATGGTAACCAAACCATTATCATATTGGAACCAAAATTTATCTGATATTAGTCGGTTACTGTAATTGTTACCAAACCCAGCTCAAACCAAAAGAATCAAACCGGACGCAAATCAATTTATATAGATAACTGAATAGATCTTATATCTGTAGAACTAAAAAAACTACGAACATAAAGAATTCAACAAAAGTTAAACCCAAAATCAAACCTCAGTCCTATTACATTCAATTCGATCACAGTTTCTAAAATACAGTAATAACCGATGACTTATGAGTATATTATGATTTCCAAAATTAAGTTAAATCCGCGCCGGTGCGCGACTTAAGATCTAGTTTTTAGATTAAAAATTATACTATCTACGGTTTAGAAACTATTTACAAACAAATCTTAAATAACTCGATGTAATCTATATTACAGGAACAGTTAAATAACATATATTATGTAGAAACTTAAAATATACACATAAACACATATAATTATAAAGGTCTTAATTCAGATTCAGTGGCTCCATGGATTTAATACCAGATCCATGGTTTCCGGATATTAGATATCCGTCTAGATACTAGACTAGTTACAGTTACGAGTATTTGGATCCGGATCGATAACAATAATTAAAAAAGTAAAAATATTTTTAAATACTTAAATTTAAAATAATACATAAATTAATATTTCTATAATATATATATATATATCAATTGTCTCAAATAGTATTTTTAAGTTATTGGCACAAAAAAAAAATCATGTAAAAAATGATCAAAATAGATTTCATTAAAGAGGTAAAAGACTTTTGTACCTCTTGCTTTACAAATATATAAATAAGTAATAAACAAAAAAATAAAAAAATAAAAAAATTAGATATAATTTTTTTCTTTTTAAATATTCGAATTATATGTTTTCAGATACGCACTTTTTATAAATGTTTTTTCCAAATTTTTTAATTTTTTTTTTGAAATTAAAAGATTATTTTGAAGTTGAAAATACTTTTGAAACTATTTTCAAATTTTTATTTTAGAATTTTTAATATTTATTTTTATTTTTGAATATTTTAAATCCAAAATCCCATCTCTTAACTCTAAACAAAAAGAAGTTTATGATTATTTAACCTTAAGAATATAAGAATATATTTTGTCTTTCAATAAAAACATCTTTTGATCATTTTCTACGTTGAAGGTTTATTTTTGAGAAAATAAACTAAAAGAAACTATACTAGAAAATTCCTTATATATATGTGTGTGCTTGTGTGTGTGTAGTATTCTAAATTTAAGTATAATATTATATAATTAGTTTTATGTGTAAATATAAAGATATCAAATATGCTTATTAATATAGGTAAAAATTTAATATATTTAAAAAATAACGACCGGATCTGGATCTCTAATAAAAACAATCTTAAATGTATGTCTATTAATAGTTTTAGTAAATTATACTTTTTTGAAAAATTCGAAATACAAAATACACAAAAAAATCTAGATTTTTATTAATGAATAATGTAATTGTGTAATTTATTTTAATAATAAAGAAATAAAAAATGATAAAAATATACTGATTGTTATCAAATTTTTATTGTTTAAAATCATTAATTTATATATATATATATATATATATATATATATATATATATATATATATATATTCTAATCAAATTAGGTAATTCTGTAGGTTTTATTTAAAGAAAGCATGTGGAACAATAAATATTTAATATATTCGATCGACTATAGTATGAGAAATATTATATAGCTACAGAGTACAATTTTTAGACTATATTTATATAAGGTGCTCTAGAATCTTTCTAAATTGAATTAGAAGGTATAGACAGATGTCACGTAGAATGGAGTTATTTTTTTTAATTAATATAAACTTAACGTTATACCTTCTCAAATGTTTTTTTTTTGCTTTTTTTTTCTTTTTTGTATACCAAGATAGGTTCGGGCCTTCGGCCGTAATCCTTCTATGCCCGGAGCCAGCATGCATCTGTACCTTTTACGGCCCTGAAAACTCCTCTCCGCCCAAGACTCAACTCGTGACCTCTTAGACAATTGCCTGATGTGTTACCAATTGAGCTAACTCGTCCGTATAATTTCAAAGGTTTCTCAATTAATATATAAGGTATTATAGATTCCAGCAAACTAATTAACCTAAACTTAGTAATACGTCTTATGATTACCCATTATGTATATTAGATCCTTTTTTCGTGCTACGCGCAAATTATGTATGTTAAATTTATAATTTATAGTTTATAGTTTATAATTTATAATTATATAAACTATTTATAGTTCATTTATGTGTATAATTTTACTTTTTTGATATTTTTAATAGTCTTATTTATCTCATATTATATATAAATATATATAGAAATATTTTCTAATATATTTTATGTTTGTATCACACAATTTAAATCAGTTCCTTTTCTATAGATAAATTATTATTTTTTGCATTTTAGACTAATTTAAAATTTTGACAATTATTTGACCTAAAGATTTTATAGTGTGAAGGTGCTATTTATTTTTAATTTTATCCGTTTTATTTATAGTAAATCAAATGATAATTTCGCATTAAATATCAATATAGATTTTATATATTGATCTTGGAAATTAATATACATTAGTTATTATTAGTATGTATCTTTATTAATGTTCTTATTCATATATCCAAATTATGTTATTTTTTGCTAATTTAGTATATTTAATTTCAAGAACTGTTTATAATTTATTTCATTGTTAGCCAAAAAGAGCTACTATAAGCATACCTCTACTGAATACAATTTATAATTATTATGTTTCTCTTTTAAATTTATATTAGGACTGACTAAAATCAAAATCTAGTTAATCCTAAAATATTCCAGATTCAAATCCAAATAAGTAAAACAAACATGTCTTTCAAAAATTTATAACTTCATCATAACTCTTAATGTTATAAAAATGTATACTAAAATGATGTTGTTTTTGGCTAATCTAGCATATTTAATTTCAAGAACAGCATATTATCCTGAATAAACTTATAATTATTCTTTTCTTAAATGTAAATTAAGACTGCCTAAAATCAAATTCTAGTTAACCCTAAAGTACACCAGGTTCAATTCCAAATAAGTAGAACAAACATATATCTTTCGAGTTAAATCGTCGAGGTTATATGCTTCTCAGCTTAGCTTGGCAGAAGCCCAAATTACTCCTAGAATATCTATTAGTTTAAATTATTATATGTTTTTATGTCGCATACATACTTCATAATTTTTTATAAAACAAACAAAACTACTACTATGTAACACTTACTAATTTTAGATGTCCAAATTTAATAATAATATAACATGTATACACGAGTATGAGCAACTGGACTTCTAATATCAAATCAAAAAATAATCTAACAGAAATATTCTTTTACATGGGTGGATACACCATTGGGAAAATGAACCAGAGTAGTGATTATAGTTTTGAGTTAACATTGATACCATTGAAGCATTTCCTCTGAGTTTGCTGTTGAAGAAATGATAAATGCCTGCACAAAAATGATGACCAAGAGCTATGACTTGTATGCTTCGGAACAGTAAGCAAGAAAAAGAGTATCAAATTCCCATTCACAGATCTGTCAAATTCCAACATGAAACATCTCTTAACATCAACCTTAGTGGGCTTACAACCACAACAATCACGTCTTGAAGTAAGATCTGAAAATTTGGGATAAGTGTAGTGCAGAATGGTCGCTTCTTCTAGTTTGATCTCCCTGTCAAAAATGATGCACAAAATAGTCATCACTACACGTTCATGCAAAGCAAAAAACACATGCAAAGGAAGCTTCTATTGAATAAACAACGCTAGAATGATAGAACCAGTGATCTAAGCCAAGGAGAGAAGGAGTGGCATATCAGTAGGTTAAGGTTAGCTCTCTGGCTTACTGACTCAAATATAGTTTATGAACAGTCAAGTGTCAACACAGGGCCGCAGTATACCTCAACAACCTCAGGTAGTTTACTGACGCATGGCTCACAACATCACATCATATCCACTAGTCAGGGAAAACAAACAAAACAAAAGCAGAAGTATGTACCTCGGCAAGGTCTTGAACAATGCATTGGATCTGGCCATTGAGGAAAAGAACCTGCTTTCGAAGGTTAGGGATGATCTGCCTAGC